AAATCATATCATTCAATTAAAAACCCATTTTTACCCCTAGAATTTTAATATTTACATTATTACTTAATTATTTAGGTTCTCTTTTTTTATTTTTATATATTTATATATATATATATTTTTAAAAAAATAAAAACCATATTGTGGTTTTTTATATTTTTTTTTATATTTTATATTTTTTAATTTATTTATTTATTTATTTATTTATTATTTATTTATTTGTTTGTATTTATAATTAATAGTCATATAGTTATATTTTAAAATTATATAATTATATATTAATAATCAAATATTCATATATTCATATTTATTATATCTGGCAAATAGTGTATATATATTCAAAAAAAAAAGAAAAAAATGGGCGATATAATATTAAATGTGTTCGAATTGGTGGATAAAAGGCTAAACAGGCTAAAGGGGTTAAAAGCAAATACGTTACTGGATTGCGAGTCATTGCTGTCACAATATAAAAAGATTATAGAAATTTTATTAAATGCAAAAAAGCTTTTAGAAAAAGATCCTGATGATCCGTTGGCTATACAGAAGAATTTAATTCAGGTTGCCCTTCGTTTAGATTTAGCAGAGAAAGAAGAAAAATTAGTTCAAACCAAAATAGATAATAAAGATTATGATAATTCAATGGCAACATCTATATTTTCACCAAATAGTTCATTGTCACCTATAATGTCACCCACCTCAACTTTAAATCAACCAATTTCACCTTCTTTATTATCAAATAATATTAATAATAATAATAATAATAATGATACAATAAATAGTAATAATATATCAACTAATTCACCAGTTTTTACATCAAATATTATTAAAAATGATTCACAAATTGATCCATTAGTTAATCAAATTTTAGAAAATAATATAATTACCACACCACCTTCCGAATCTGCAATACCTTTGATAGAATCAACTAAAGATAAAGTTAAAAAAGATGAGAATTTTCAATTGGACGCAGCTGAAACAAACAATAAAAATATTATGACATCACCACCATTACCTTCAAAACATTTAAATAATAAACCGATTATATCAAAGAATAAACCTCCATCTCCACTTTTAAGTAATGTTGTAATAGATAAACCAATAAGCCCTAAGAATAGAGATTCAGAGAAAAAAAATGATGAAAACTTAACAGTTAAACAAAAGAGCGAAAAAATAACTCAAATGCTAATGGAACAACATTATTTAAACAAAAAAGCTCCATCTTCTTATAAACCAGGTGATATCGTTTTTTCATATAAAGAAGAATTATATAAAAATATTTCAAATAATAATTCTAATGATAATAGTAATATTGATAATAATGGTAATAATGGTAATAATAGTAATATTGATAATAATAATAGTATAAATGGTAATAATATGGATACATTACAAAATCAAACTATATCAGTTGAAACAGTGGTAATAACAAAAGAAAAAGTTAAAAGAGAAAATTCGCCAATAACAGTTAGTAGTGATGATAATAATAGCACTAAAGAGGAGGAGAAAGAGGTTGTTTTCAAAGGAAAGAGAAAGAGTAGATCAGCTATTAGCTTCCCATCACCACCATTAGATTCAATTCAAGAGCCATTACAACTATCAGATCTTTCATCAATCCCACCACTTAAAATTAGCAATGATAAGGTTGAAAAGCAAACAAATGATATTCCAGGTATAGAGATAGTCGAAGAAAAAGATCAAAAAGATCAAAAAGATCAAAAAGATCAAAAACAAGATCAACACCAAGAACAACAGGAACAACAACAAGAGCAATCACAAGAACAACAAAAACAACAAAAACAAGAGCAACAAGAAGAAGAACAACAACAACAACAACAACAACAACAACAACAACAACAACAACAACAACAACAACAACAACAACAAGAACAACAACAAGAATCACAAGAACAAAAACCAAGATTATCAATTAAAGAGGAAATTATAATTATTAAAGAAACTATTGAACAACCAAAAGAACAAGATATTTTAGAGAGTCAATCAATCAAAAAAGTAGAACCAATTGAAGAAAAACAAATAAATATTGAAATTACAAAGGAAACTATTGAAATAAAAAAAGAACCATTAAATTTAATTAAATCATCATCTAGTGAAAATAAAGATGAAAAAGTTATATCAAGCTCATTAGTTGATACATTTTTACTTAGACATAGATTTGGTACATCATCAACATCAGATTTATCAATTTCGCAATTTATACAACCACATTTCTCATCAGAGTCAGTAATTTCATCTTCATTACCAAGCTATGGTCATCAACCACTACCACAAAGCAGCAGCAGCCATAATATTATAAGTAGTAGCTATATAAACAGTAGTAATGGAAGTTTAAGTAGCTCTGGTGGTCATTCAATTGGTATTAGAACTTCGCAACAAAAAATTTCACAAAAACTAAAACTAGCTAAACAAAATCCAATAATTAGAAAGCAATCAGATACTAAAATTGGCCATGCTAGATCCAATAGCAATAATTCAGTTCGTCGTTCTGATGGTCTCATTAATTCGAGTAGTTCAATAGTATCTTCATCTTCATCTATTTATACCGAGAGTAATTTAAATGATAGCGGATCAAATCAAACCTCTGTTAATAGTAGTTCAAATGGAATAAATAGTTTAAATAATTCTATAAATAATAATAACAACAATAATAATGGCGATAAGTTTTATGGTGTTGGAGCTAGTATTTCTGAAAATATAATTGAAGAGGAAATTAGTGCAAATAATTTTATTGGCCAAGGTGAAAGATTAGCATTACTTCAATCATTATTAAAATCAGAAGAGTTAACAAATAATGCAGAGAATAAAGTTATCGATGAAATCAATAGAGTTACTAGACAGAAATCACAAGAGCTTTATCAATTAGTTTGGGAAGTTAGACATTTAGATAAATCAATTGCTCATATTTTAAATAATAGATTACAAATTTCAGATATTTCGGATATTGGTTTAATTCCAGATTCAAACACAAATCAACAAAATTATAATTCATCCTCATCAACAGTTATAGAATTATCAAGAGAGTTAAAATTTACTTTAGAGCGTTTAGTAATCTTGTTAAGAACCGAACCATCAATTCTTCGTGATACTTTATATAGGGCTGGTTATTTGGGTGAAAATGTTGACTCTAGTTTCAAAGCATCCCATACCGATCTATCACAGGCCATTGTATTCTCATTATTTGGTAATTGTTTTACTGCCACAGATGAAAAACTTTTACTTTTAACAATTAAATCAATAACAGAAATTGAATTTAAAATTACAATGGAAAAGAAATCATTTGGAATTCATGAACCATTTTGCTTTACTTTATTATCCACCTATTTAAACTATACATATGGTAAACCTTATTTAATTTCTGTACTTAAAGATATTGTAGTTTCAATTATTCAAGATCATAATCTTAATCTAGAAAACGACCCACAAAAGAAAGCAATGTTGGCCTCCATTGGTATTGTCGAGGATGAACCATTAATTGATCAAAATGTATTATTACAACAATTTACTGGCGAGTTTTTAAAAAGAGTTTGTGCTTTATCAAGTTCAATCCCATATGCCCTTAGATGGATAAGTAAAATTATTATTCAATTATGGCGTCAACATATTAAATCCCAACGTCCAGTTGGTTTTATCCCATCAGAAATGTCAAATATGAGGGATAGACAAGAAGAAAAAGAATATATTATTAGATTGGTGTTTGAAAACTTTTTTATCCCTGCAATTATCAGACCTGATCATTATGGTGTTATTTCAGGTTTAACTATCAGTCAAAAATCAAGACACAATTTAATTCAAATTGCTAAAATGGTTTTAGATTTCCTTCGTAATCCCTCATTAATTCCAAGATGGTTAAATGAAAGTATGGAACTAGATTGTATATTAAACGAATACTTTGTTGATTTAATTCAAGTAGAAGAGCCAGAAGATTACTACCACAGACCAGTATTTGAATTAGAATTGGGTCAAAATCTATTAGTATCGTCAACAGATCTCTTTATAATTTTAGAATTAATTTATCATAATGGTCCAAATAATTTAAGTAAAAGCAATAGCGATTTAGAATTTACCAATGAAATTCAGATAAATAATATAAATAGTAATTTAAATAACAATAAAAATATAAATAATGATGATAATGTAGATCCAAATAATATAAATAATAGTGAAACCCAACAACAACAACCATTATCACCAACAATTACTTCAAAACATATTAAAGTTGAATTTAATTTAGAAGAAATATTATTACAAAATGAAGTTATTGAAATGATAAAGACAGTTCAACCAGCCTCACAATTACAAGAAGGTATGAAATTTTTAGTTATTAATGTAGTTAGCAAGAATGGTGGTAAATCGGAAAGTAAAATTTTCCAACAAGCATCAGCACATTGTATTAAATTAGCCAAAGCAAATCTTACATTAGCTCTTAGTGTTTTAAATTTTATTTGTGGTTACAGTAAATCAAATAATGTTTGTGAGCTTTTACTTATGCAATGTGGTAGAAATAGATCAATGGAGTTAAATATTTTAGAGGCACAAATCGAGGAAACTATCCGTTCACTTTGGGCTTTACCAGATAATTATAAACAAGAGGATTATAAAGTATTATTAGACCATATGTTTGAAGACTTCTATAAACGTGATAAAAAGAGAAATTTAGAAAAGCAATTAAAAGTATTATATTTAGATCAATTACAAAGACACAGTGCCCAGATTGCTGCTCAAAAGAAAATCAATATCGAATTTTTAACAAATCAAAAGTTCCGTAAATTTAGAGATAAAACTTATGATAGAATGCAAGCAGAGTTTGTTGGTTCTTTCATGTCCAAATTTAATAGTCATACTGGATATTGCTCATGTATACCGGGATTAGATAGTTCAATTAGCTGCCAAACTTGCTCACTGAAATCAATTATGATTAAATCTTTTATTCAAAAAACAAAGAATGAAATGACTAATTCAATATGGTGGAATTTATCAAACACTACAGAAGATGAATTATTTATTGCTTCAAATATTTTAGAAAGAAATCTTTTAACTCAAATTTATAACTTTACCTTTAATGTTTCAATGGAGGATATCACCTTTTCAAATGATTTAATTTCAAAATTCTCACTTGTAGATCACAGCCTATTAATTAACGAAAAGTTTTCAAGTCAAGCTCCATGGGAATTAGCTCAAGAAGAAATTAAAAAAATTAATTTATATAAATCTCCACAAGATAAAATGAAATGTATTATAGATACATGGAATATAATTTTTAGTAAGTTTTAAATTTAAAACTTAATATTATATTATTATTTCATACTAATCCAACTTTTTTTTAAATTTTTTATAGATTACACAAAGCCATTTGGTAATAGTGGTCCAGATGATTTCCTACCAATTATGGGTTATGTTATTATTAAAGCAAGACCTGAAAATATACTATCAAATATTCAATATATACAATTATATTCAGATTTAAGTGATGATTCAGAAATCTGGTTTATGAATTTAAAGTCATCAATAGAAATTGTTAAAGAGGTATTAAAGGATACAAAACATAAGAATAATTGGAGAAAAGGAATTTTAGTTGAAACAAACGAAAGAATGGAAAATATGCGAAGATATTTAAAGAAAAAAGAAAAATTAAAACAATATCGTACTTCGATAGTTCAAATTGAAAGTAATAGTGGTACTCCAAACTCACCAAACTTTAAATAATATAGTTTTTTTTTTTAAGATAAAAATAAACAAATTTTTAGAAATTTATAAATTATAACATAAAAAACGATTCTTTGTTATTAAATTAACACTTTTTATATTTTACAATTTTTTATAAATAATATAATATATTTTTTTTTTTATTAATAATAGGGAAAATTAAAATATTTAATTTAAATTTGTAAAAGAAATATCTATTTAATATTGTAAGAAGAGGTGGAAAAAACTAAAAGATTTTGTTGTATATTAAAATTATATATTGTTTTTTTTTTTGTTATTTTACATTTCTGAATAATTGTGTTGTTGTTGTTGTTGTTGTTGCTGTTGTTGTAATTCTTGTTCTGGTTGGGAAATATTTTGGTTTGAAGAGTCAACAACTGGAATACCTTTTTCTCTATTTTTTTCATCAATAGCACGTGAGGTTTCATCTTGAACTTGTTGAACCTCTTGTTTAATATAAGTACCAAAAGTTGAAACTTTATTAATACCCATTGAAATTGTTGGATTTTCTTGTACGGTAGAATAAAGGCTATTAACTTGTTGGGATAAGTAATCACCAGCACTCTTGAACATACCAGTAATTTGGAATTTTTCATCAATTTGTTGGGCTTTTTCAACAACAACATTCTTTACAGCAGTAGCATTTTCAGTGATATGAAGTTTATTATCGATTTCGTTTGCTTTGGCTTTAACAGCTTCAGCACCAACTTTAATATTTAATGAAATCATATGTTCTTCATCAACTTGACGTGCTTTAATAACTGCATCTTGACCAACACTGTAACCAGCTGCAATAACTGATGCTATGACTGATGTCTTGGTTCTTTCACTATCTGGTACTGAGTGTTCTCTATTTACAATATCTTCTTCAGATTGTGAGGTAAATTGATTTGGTTGTTGGTCTTGAGTTGGATTACTTGAGATTTGTTGTTGGAATTCATTTTCTAATGCTGGTGTAAATGGAACAACTTGAATAACTTTATCTACAATTAATGCATTTGTTAAAAGTAATGCTGTTTTAGCTGCTGAGTCTGATTCAAATACAACAATAGCTTGTTGAGAGGCACCACTTGGGTCGCTAATAATTTAAAATTAAATTTTAATTTTAATATCCGATTTTATAATTTAATTATAATTTTTTTTATTTTTATTGCTATAACCATATAGTTTTTTGAAATTTTTTGTTTATATAAAACTTACGTCTTTAAATATAAATTTACAATTCTGCCACAAAATGAAAAGAAATCTGAAACAGTTTTAGTGTTGGCTTTTGGTGAAATATTTGAAACATGAACAGTGAATTCTGGGTTCATTTTATTATTTATACGCTTTTATTGTTAAATTAATTAAGTATTTAATAAAATTTATTGTGAAAAAAAAAAATAATATTATTTGTGGTAATAAGAAAAAAATTAAAATTTTTTTTTAAAAAAAATAAAAATAAATTAAAATATTTATTTTTTTTAAAAATTCAAAAAAAAAAAAATAAAAAAAAAAATAAATAAAAAAATTTTAATAATTACATAATTAGGTTATTAATATTAACAAGGTAACCACATCGTTAGTTTTTATTAAAATAATTATTTAATTAAATTAAAAATCTATAAAATTTGAAATTATAATAAATTAATAAAAATTTAATTTATATTAAATTTTATTTTTTTAAAATAAAATTATTTTAATTTATTAATAAAATAAAAATCCAAAAAAAATCTTACAACGAAACCCAATTGATTTTGAAAACTTTACCACCATTAAATAATCAAAAATTTTAATCTATTTTTTTTTTTTTTTTTTTTTTTTTTTATTCAATTACACACATAAAATTCAAAATATAAAAATTTTTTTTTAGAAACAATTAGTTTAAATAAACATTTTGTTTTTTTAAATTTAAATATATATTTAAATTTTATTTTGTTTTACTATAAATGCAGCAATTTGATCCATTTTTTTTTTTTTTATAAGTGGATTTTATTCTTTTATTGTTTTTAATTATCAATAGGTTTGGGGTTGGATGGCCTTGATTCAATATTTCAACGATTATTTAATTTTTAAAAGGATAGAGTGAATAATTATAAATATTTTTATGGGAATGTTGATTAATTATTTTGAATTCATTAAAATTTCTCTAAATTGGATTGGATCGGATCATTCAATAATATCAAGATTTATTGTGTTATGATTATAGGTGAAGTATTTTATTGAATCATTAAAATATCAATTATTGTGTAACATTCAAAATATGAATTTCTAAAAAGTCGAAGCCACATTGTAATGCTCTATGTGCTGTGTTTTTAAAATCATTATTAACTGTTTTAATTTCTGAAATTGATTGTTCATGTGGTACTTGCATGGGATGAAAATAGTCAACTTCACTTGGACCTACAACTTTCCATCCTTTAGGGTCATCAAATGGTAAACCTTGTTTTCTATGTCCAAGAAATGGAGGTTCAGTTGATGCTTTTCTTCCTTCATTAGCTATTTGAATACCCATACGTGGACCAAAGATTTTGCAAAAATCTATAACTCTTTTTAATTGCTCCTTTTGTCCATCCTTCCATAATCCACTATCACTATAGCCCCATAATATTAGATTTATCAATATGGTTTTGTGAAGGTTTTTGAAAAGGAAAATAAAAATATTATAATTAATAAAATTCAAAATTTAAAAAAAAAAAAACCTCCCCTGTTTCAAATTATTACCAATTTTGATTGTAGCAGATCTACATTTTTTTCTTCAATACAAATTTTACTTATTTTGGAATTGATGTTTTAAATAAATTAGGAAATAGTTATAGATTTAATTAATTAATCTAAATTTAATTTTTTTTTAATTTTTTTTTAAAAAACTAAAAAGTATTTAAAGAAAATAATTTCATTATATTTTTTTTTTTTTTCATTATACACATTCAGGTAAATTTATTTATCATTAAAAATATCATGTATTATTTATCATTAAAAAATATCAAGTATTATTTATCATTTAAAAATATCAAGTATTATTTAACATTCAATTAAGTTTTCAATCAATTATCTTTTGTTTTTTTATTGAATGTAATGATTATTGGTAAGTATTATGGATAATTAAAAAATATCAAGTAATATGGATCATGCAAAAGTATCAAATATTTAGCATTTAAAAAATAAAAAGTAATATGGATCATAAAAAATATCAAATATTATATAGCATTTAAAAAATATCAAGTAATATGGGTTCGATAAATGTCGAAAAATTTATAGAAGCAATGGACGAGTCTTTTAAAGATTATCAAGTTTTACTGTCATATATTTACAAGGAAAGTGAAAAACCATTTATATTTTTCAAAGCAGCAGGCTATGAAGAAATATTGGAAATCGAAGAAAGAAATGGTGATTCAATAAACAATTGTAAAATAGAGGACTCTTTACCAAATAAAATCAAAACAAGAGATACAGAAAATGGTGTCAAAGTTGGTGTATTTAAACTTACCTTATTCAAAGATGGCTTCAGTCTAGGGAATGTCATCAGTCATGCAATTTTTGATCAAGGTGCAGTGTGTTATTATTTTAAATATGTATCACAACTCTATAATAATGGAAGAGGAAGAACCATATTGGCCAAACCTCATTTTACAGATTATAGTGCTTTTAGTAGCGAGTCTATAATATTTAATGACATGAATGAAGCTCAATTATATGCAAATCAGATAGGCTTTTCATATCCATCATTGCATGCAATATCCGCAACCCACCCCATCCCACTAGTGTACAATATAGAATTTAATATAAATGAATTAGAAAACTTCAAATCAAGCATCGATGGTAAACAAGCTGGTATTTCAAAAAATGATATTATCACTGCAGTTTTTTTTAAAATGTTTGCATCACAGCTTTTAGATAGTGATATCTTTAGCTTAAAATATGCATGTAATATCAGAAAAACTGCTGGTTTAGGTGAAGAGGCTTTAGGTAATATTTATATTCACTGTTGTATACCATTAAAAGTTTTGGAAATTAAAGAGAAATCACTTCTGGAATTAGCAAAAATCAGTCGAAAAAGTGTTTCAAAGATATCTGTAGATCATTTTAAAAAAGATTTAATATGGTATAAATATATACAAGATAACAAAATAGATTCTGATGGTTATTTTTTCCCGACACCCTATACAACAATTTTATCAAATTGGAACCAATTCGACTATAGTCAGGTTAGATTCAATGATTCCACTCCCTATGCTCTAAGGACGATCTCAATAGCTTCTAAAGGTACAAATTTCATATCATTCGATATAAATAACGACAACAAAAAAATAATTTCAACAACAATTGCAGTTACATTCGACAATATCGATGCAATCACAGAAATGGGTAATAATACAAATTTATTTAAAATTATAAAATAAAAAATAATCTTAAAATAAACACATATAAATTTTTTAGAAAATTAAATATTTTGGAGTTGATGATCTGTCGGGTAGAACTACTTGTTTAAAATAGGGAGAAAAATTTAGCTAAGTTTGACTAAAAAAAAAAAAATTTCTGAGTTTCCCCCACTCCCACACCCACCCACTTGACTAATTTTTTCATTTTAAAAACTTAGAAACTTAGAAAAAAAAAAAAAAAACTTAGAATTACATTATTTTTTTGTATGAAAAAAATTTAAAATTCTTATAAAATTTTATTTAATCATTCCATTTTTGAAATATTTGAATAATTATAAAAGATAGAGTTTTCGACAATATCTACTCTTGAAATGTTTGCCCATTCCCTTAATAACACACATTGTTCTATTCTTTCCCAACCCAAATTTGATCTGTTGTCTACATGTAACCAACAACTTAGCACCCGAAAATGTTCTTTCAATTTCAACGGACGAAGAAGCAACTGAAAATACATTTCTTATAATTGATTATAATGTTGGATATTGAATACTATTTTCTTTCCAATATTTTATTGTATCATTTCTATGATCTAAACTTTCTTCTAAGTATTTTTGGATTTCTTTATACTTTGAAATATGTATTTGTTTCTTTTTTTTCTTCAATAAGCATTTAAATTAAAGGTTCATCATAGTTGCTATATACCCTCTCTTTGGCAAAGTGATAATCTAGAGTATTTATTGTATCATTTGAAAGATTGTTTTTTTCTCTATATTTTTTTGCTGCTAAACATTTACCATCTATTAAAAATAAGATATTAGTATAATTTTTTAATCAATAAATTAAATAATAATATGTATACTTTACCATTTGTAAAATGATATCTAATGCTATGGATGTTGATAGCTTTTTGTCTAGATCTTAAATTAAATTTCTTTTGGTAATAGGTCTTTTATTTGTTCCTTCCATTGATATTAAATTATTAATATTAAAATATTTATTTTTTATAATTTTATATTTATTAATGTTATTATTTATTAATTTATTTTTATTTTTTTAAAATATAATAATTTTTTATATTTTTATATATATTAATAAATTTTGATATTGATATATAAATAAAAATTTTGAAGTATTTATTTGGTAATGTTCCCGGTGGAACAACTTGGTTAAAACTATAACCGAATGTGAGTGTTGCCGGACTATTTGGTAGGAAAATATTAATCATGACTGATTACTTTATTTAATTATAATTAATTTTAAATTATGGGAAAATTTTTAAATATATAACAAAACAGAGTAATAAGCAGAGGGGGGATTAAATATATATAAGGTTTTGAAAAACTAATAATTAAATTATTACTTTAAAGAGTTGAAATGTTGGGTTCAACTTTGTAGAGAGAATAGTACCAATTATTGCTTTTATGGGTAATTTTTTGTGTATCTTCTCGGTAATAGATTTAAACAATCTTTGAGAGTTTTGATGTGAGATTATTTGGTAATGTACCAGGTAGAATTACTTGGTTAAAATCACGACCGAATGTGAGTGTTGTGAGACTATTTGGTAATGAGCCCGGTGGAACTACTTGGTTAAATTTAGTTCCGAATGTGAGTGTTGTGAGATTATTTGGTAATGTGCCGGGTAAAACTACTTGGTTAAAACAATAACCGAATGTGAGTGTTGTGAGACTATTTGGTAATGTGCCGGGAAGAACTACTTGGTTAAATTCATTATCGAATGTGAGTGTTGTGAGACTATTTGGTAATGTGTCAGGTAGAATTACTTGGTTAAAATCATCACCGAATGTGAGTGTTGTGAGACTATTTGGTAATGTGCCGGGTAGAACTACTTGGTTAAAACGATGACCGAATGTGAGTGTTGTGAGACTATTTGGTAATGTGCCAGGTGGAACTACTTGGTTAAAATCATAACCGAATGTGAGTGTTGTGAGACTATTTGGTAATGTGCCGGGTAAAACTACTTGGTTAAAATCATTACCGAATGTGAGTGTTGTGAGACTATTTGGAAATGTGCCGGGTAGAACTACTTGGTTAAAATCATAACCGAATGTGAGTGTTGTGAGACTATTTGGTAATGTGCCGGGTAGAACTACTTGGTTAAAACGATGACCGAATGTGAGTGTTGTGAGACTATTTGGAAATGTGTCGGGTGGAACTACTTGGTTAAATTCATAACCGAATCTGAGTGTTGTGAGACTATTTGGTAATGTGTCGGGTAGAACTACTTGGTTAAATTTACCACCGAATGTGAGTGTTGTGAGACGATTTGGTAATGTGCCGGGTAAAACTACTTGGTTAAAAAAAAAACCGAATGTGAGTGTTGTGAGACTATTTGGTAATGCGCCAGGTGGAACTACTTGGTTAAAATGATGATCGAATGTGAGTGTTGTGAGACTATTTGGTAATGTGCCGGGTAGAACTACTTGGTCAAAACAATTACCGAATGTGAGTGTTGTGAGACTATTTGGTAATGTGCCGGGAAGAACTACTTGGTTAAAATGATGACCGAATGTGAGTGTTGTGAGACTATTTGGTAATGTGCCGGGTAAAACTACTTGTCTAAAAAAATAACTGAATGTGAGTGTTGTGAGACTATTTGGTAATGTGCCAGGTGGAACTACTTGGTTAAAAGCTTTATCGAATGTGAGTGTTGTGAGATTATTTGGTAATGTGCCGGGTAGAACTACTTGGTCAAAACGATGACCGAATGTGAGTGTTGTGAGACTATTTGGTAATGTGCCGGGTAGAACTACTTGGTCAAAATAATAACCGAATGTGAGTTGTGTGAGACTATTTGGTAATGTGCCGGGTAAAACTACTTGGTTAAATTTACTACGGAATGTGAGTGTTGTGAGACTATTTGGTAATGTGCCAGGTGGAACTATATGGTTAAAAAAATGACCGAATGTGATTGTTGTGAGACTATTTGGTAATGTACCAGGTGGAACTACTTGGTTAAAATTATAACCAAATGTGAGTGTTGTGAGACTATTTGGTAATGTGTCAGGTAGAATTACTTGGTTAAAATTATAACCGAATGTGAGTGTTGTGAGACTATTTGGTAATGTGTCAGGTAGAATTACTTGGTTAAAATCATCACCGAATGTGAGTGTTGTGAGACTATTTGGTAATGTGCCGGGTAGAACTACTTGGTTAAAATAATGACCGAGCGTGAGTGTAGTTATTGTATTTGGTAAAGTTGTTGGAGTTAACTTTTCAGAAAAATGGGGCAAATATAAACTTGTCAAAAATGGTGGAAATTCATTTTTATCAGGTAGTGTATCACCAAACCAATTAAGTGTTGTTATATATGATTTATCTTTAAACTGGTCATATTGTGATATTTCAAAATCTACAACACTATATTCAATAAACTTTAAAATATGTTTATGAATTTCATTTCTTAAAAATATATTATTCCAAACTATATATAATAATCTATAATGAATAGTTAAAAAGAGAAAACATCAATTAATATGTTTTTAATAAATCGATTATTATTTAAATTTATTGTTAAGATTTATTGTATTGTTTGTATTGTACTTACCTATCACTAATATTACTACTGTTTTTTAATTCTTCTTTTACACTAAAGTTAATTAGAGATGATAATAGCTCATTCATTGTTAATATAAAAATTTTTTTATAAATTTATAAAAAAAAAATAAAATTTTTTTTTTAAAATATCTTTTTTGGATAACAAAAAAAATTATAATTAAAAATTTTTAAATATTTTTTATTTTTATTATTATTTTGTTATTGTTATTGGAATGTAGTTATTGTGAGTATTTTGAGATTATTTGGTAATGTGTCAGGGAGAATTACTTGGTTAAAATTATCATATAATGTGAGTGTTGTGAGACTATTTGGTATTTAATTATTAGTCATGAACTGACCACTTTATTTATAGTTTTTTTTTAGTATTAATGTTATGTTTTTACTTTGTTTAGGAATTCATTGATTCACTTGGTGCGGACATATTGATTATTACCTTGGCTATTTTTTCTGTGGTAGTCAGAGCCAGCTTCTGTTCATATAAGCCGGGACCACTAAGATCAGTATTACAATCTTTGTGGTTTGGTCTAGTCTGTGTTATACCTGCATTCTGATTGATGAGACCGGACCGGGTATCGTTTAACGATTCATACCATTTAAAATGGCAGAGTTCTGAATTTGGGTGGATATCAGGATCCAGATGTTTTTTTACGGTGTTACTCCTCACCTTGGTAGAAGAATGTTAATCATGACTGATTACTTTATTTAATTTTATGTTTAAGGAAAAAGATATTTTTTTTTTTTAAAAAATTATATTGCAAACAAAGTTATTAGCAGAGGGGGAATTAAATTTATAGGAATTTTAAAAATTAACAGTTGATTTCTTATTATGAGGCTTTAAATTTTTGGGTCCAACTTTGGAGAGATAGGATAGTACCAATTATTGCTTTTCTTGGTAATTTCTTGAACAAATGAACCTTTTCGGTTTCAGGAAGTGGAAGTAGACTTAAACAATCTTTGAGGGATTTGATGGTGAGAGTTATATCTTTTTCAGTGTGGGGAACTTCTTTAGTTATAATTCTGCCAAATGCACCTATGACTATTGGGATTATTTGTACATCAAATGATCTGCCATCTGGGTCTTTGTATTGGTTCTTAAAATGTTTTTTGAAGTAATCGTATTTCAATAGTTTTTCATGTTGTCTGAACAGCATATTACCATCGAAAGGGATACATACATCAATAACACGGATGATGTGTTTTACTTTATCAATAACTACAATATCAGGTTTATTTTGTATTGAGTTAGAGTTTTTAAAACAAACATCACGTAAGATTTCAACATTGATGATGGTTTGATTGTTTTCCTTTAAAGAGTTTGAGAAGATGGGTGCCTTGAAGTTTGTGATGTTGGGGATTTTATAACGTTTAATAAGTGATTTAATGATTTCAGTAACAACCATGTCATGACGGGTGATTCTACCGAATTTATTCATACCTGTATTAGATATGAACATATGTTCCAAATTTTTTAAATATTATTGATACATAAAATTTTTATTTTAATATCTTAAATTAAAAAGACTATCAATGAATTGTAACAGTTGCTGTAGTTGTGGTTGTTTGTTGTTCCTACATTTGAAAATAAATTTTTGTTGTTTAATACAAATTGATACATGATATCAACACAATTTTTAAAGCCTGTAAAAACTTATATTAGTTAACTTTGTAAATATCCTAATTGGTTAAAATAATGACCGAATGTGAGTGTTGTGAGACTATTTGGTATGGAAAATATTAATCATGACTGATTATTTTATTTAATAGTTAATTACTTCACATGTTAAAAAAAGAGTAATATGTATTAAACAGGGAATAATAAGCAGAGGGTAAAATCTTTAAAAGATTTAAGGAAATTTTGTAATTGGTTAAAAGATTTAAATTTTTTGTGCCAACTTTCAAGAGCGAGTACGGTACCTATAATTGCGAGTCTAGGGTATTTTTACTTTCAAGAATTTCTTTTCGGCTACTGGTAACGGAAGTGTATTAATGCAGTCTTTAGAAAAAAAAAACTTCATTATTGGAATGGATGTTGCATCTCTTGTATTTGGATTTAATGTATAAGATACTTCTTCCGTTATGATCCTGCCAAATGCACCAACAACTATGGGAACAAGTTCAACATTATATGACTTATTATGACCAATCTCACTATCCTTGTACTTATATTGATTCTGGAAATATGATTGTAGGTAGTGATACTTGTTTAATTTTTCAGCTTGTTTAAATTCAATATTACCATCAAAAGGTACACAGACATCTATAATATACACAAGGTGTTTAATATGATCAATTACCACAATGTCTGGGTTATTATCCGTCGATTGAGAGTTTTTGAAGCATATATCCCGAATAATTTCAATATTGGTAGTCATTAAATTCCAAAAACTTTATACTTGTGGGTACTTCGATGTCTTTTGAAATGATAGAAAGTCGCTTATAATCGTTATATTTTGATTGTGAATAAGTAATGTGTGGATCTGAGTAGTTTTTAACGTTTGGAATTTCATAGCGTTTGATCAATGATTTACTAATCTTGGTTACTGCTGCATCATGACGTCTTATTCTACCGTGTTTATTCATACCAGTACAACCACCAACTAAGTGTTCAATTGACTCATCAGCACATTTGATGTTGATTACTGCTGTGGCAACTGAATAGATGGCTCTACTAATTGCGTCCAGTAGTGGGGTGTTTGTGGATACTAGTTTATTAATGATTTCTTCGCATATCTCATTTGCATCTGATAGTTCACTATGAGTGAGATTGACTTTTGTTCTTGTTGATACACGTGGATTACTAGGGTTCGAGAGGGCAATTCCAGTAGCTTCACTGTGTAATGACAGGTAGAAATCAGGACGTTCGTGGTTTGAGATGGTTGCTGATCGGGTGTCTCTAATTTCTTGACGAATTTCTTTTGCTTTTGTTGATGTTGGGCCAATAGGAGTATTAGCCTGAAGACATTTAATTTTCTTATCAGCTGTTTTAATTTGGGATCTGAATGAGTTAAGTTCTAAAGAACCTGTACCAAATTTCTGATCAAGGGGAAGATTATTAAATGTTTCAAGGGCTCTTTGGATACATCCTTTTGACGTTATAGCTTTTTCTTTGTTTCTTAAATTAATTATTAATTTCTGTAAATCGTTTAAATTTGAATTTACCAATTCCGATTGAGGAACTTCTCTACTGCTTAAGATACCTGTTTGCACATTCTGATTGGCTGCAGCTGAGAGTGATACTGATTTAAAAAGGATATTTTTGTTGTGATTATTCATATTTAAATTAACAGATTGTTTCTCTTCCAACAGGAGTTGTAATCCTGGGCTGTCAGAAGGTTAAGATTTCGCAATACAACGGGGTGTTGTACAGTGACCGATCTACGCCGCGGGGAGGCACTTAACGTGTGATCTTGGTAATGTGCCGGGTAGAATTACTTGGTTAAAATCATTACCGAATGTTAGTGTTGTGAGATTATTTGGTAATGTACCCGGTGGAACTACTTGGTTATAATAATGATCGAATGTGAGTGTTGTGAGACTATTTGGTAATGTGCCGGGTTGAACTACTTTTTTAAAACGTTGACTGAATGTGAGTGTTGTAAGACTATTTGGTAATGTGTCGAGTAGAATTACTTTGTTAAATTCATAACCGAATCTGAGTGTAGTTATTGTATTTGGTAAAGTTGTTGGAGTTAACTTTTTATAACAATAGAACAAATTTAAAATTGTCAAAAATGGTGGAAATTCATTTTTATCAGGTAGTGTATCACCATTCCAATTAAGTCTGGTTATATATGATTTATATTTAAACTGGTCATATTGTGATTTATTAAGATCTACAACACTATATTCAATAAACTTTAAAATATGTTTATGAATTTCATTTCTTAAAAATATATTATTCCAAACTATATATAATAATCTATAATGAATAGTTAAAAAGAGAAAACACAATTAATATGCTTTTAATTAATCGATTATTATTTAAATTTATTGTTAAGATTTATTGTATTGTACTTACCTATCACTAATATTACTACTGTTTTTTAATTCTTCTTTTACACTAAAGTTAATTAGAGATGATAATAGGTCATTCATTGTTAATATAAAAATTTTTATTTATTTTTTTAAAAATTTATAAAAAAATTTTATTTTTTAAAAATATCAAGATATTTTAAATATTTAAATTTATATAAATATTTTTCAAAAAAATATCAAAACCATTTGAAATAATTTAATAAATTAAATTAAATTTTATTAAAAAAAAGATATAAAATTATCAAAGCTTAATTTTTATAAAAAATTTTATTTAATTTATTACACACTAATAAATGAGCCAGTTTCACCACTCCTGATTCTAATGGTTGTGTTTTATTATTTTTTTGTGCAGTTTTAATTGTAATTAAAAAACCACTCAAACAAATTAATATATAATATCATCATGGGGTCTAAATATATCTCGGGCGCTGTATTAGGGATTTCTTCATTATATCTGATACCACCAACGGAATTCCTTTGTTTATATAAAGATTACCCAATGCTTCTTCACCCAATCCTGTGAATTTTCATATGTTGCAAATATATTTTAAATTAAATACTTCATCTATTTAAAGATGTTTGAGTGGTTTTTTAATTACAATTAACACTGCACAGTGGGAAAATAAATTTTAAAAAATATTTCTTTTTTTTATTTTTCGAATTTTTTTTAGAGTTCTAAAATTATCGTTATCTCCATTTTTACCGATTATCGTTATCGTGTTCATTATCCACTTCTTAAAAAAAATATTATCTCTTTTTTATCTTTTTTTTAAAAAAAATTATTCATTTTTATCCACTTTTAAAATTTGCCAATAGATCCAAAATAACAGTTCAAATACGCACATCATAGTTTGTTTCTTTTCCGCCCTTTTTTTTTTTATTTTTTAAAAAAAAATTTTCTATTTTTTTAACCATTTTTTTTTTTTTTTTTTTTTAATTTTTTTGTAATTAATATATTAATATGGGCGCTTTTTTTTTTTTTTTTTGAATTTAAATTTTTAAATTTTATTGATTATTATATTTTTTTTATTTTCCTTTCAAAAATCTTCACAAAACCATATTAATAAGAGTCTTTTACTCACACCTCTTCAATAATAAAATGACAATATAATATTTTTTAAAAAAAAAAAATATAAATCATATTATAAAAAATAAAAATATGATTTTATATTTTTAATAAAAATAAAAAAAAAGTTGTTTTTATTTTTTTGTTATCACCATAGAATTATTTTTTACTATTATTTTTTTTTATAATAGTAAATTATTATAAATATAAATATAAAATAGACCCAAAAAATAACTAGATTGCATCAACATTAGGTTTTCTGAATTTTTTTATAACAATTCTATTTTTTTTTTTTTATAAATTATTATCCTTTTTTTAATTTTATTATCCACTTTTATCTATTTTTAATTTTTTTCGAAAAAAATATTCATTTTTGGATAATTTCTTCCCGGTTATTTAAAAAAAGATAAACGGAAACGATAATTTTCGAACTCTAATTTTTTTTAAATCATTTTTAAACTTTTAAATTTTAAATATAATTACTAGAACATAATCAAAATGAGGTTAATTGATGAACTTCGTTTCTTAATATTCACTTTCAAAAGCAGAAACCATTACTCTAATAGAAAATTGGGTGTTTCACAAAACAACAGTGGCAAAAACAATTCATAGATATGAACAAACAGGTCCGATCATTGACCATCAACGTTATGGAAGAGAAAAAAAGATTCTAGAAAGAGATGAAAATCTGATATGTTTCAAAAATTTTGAATTGTGTAATTGAAGAATGTAAAAGAAGCATTAGATTAGTGCTTATCATCATCTGTTTCATATCTGACTTGTCAGTTAGAAAAGTTTTGCATAGAAATAATATTGTTAATAAAAAGAAATTTAAATGTAGTTCATCAAACAAACATGTTCAGCATAAAAAATCATCAATTTTATAAATTTATAATATTTTAAAATTTCTAAACTATTGAAATTTATATAAAATTATATTATTAATATGTTATAATCCGAGATATCATAGTATTTCCACACATTTTCAACCCTTAAATTATCTTTAAAAAATTATGAAAATAATAAAAAAATAAATGTCAGATCACACAAAAATATCAAGAATAGAAATCAAATTTGAAAGAAATAGAATATAAATATAGGTAAAAATAAATATAAACATATCAACTATTGTGTAACATCCAAATATATCAAGAACTATTTAGCAGCACCAACAAGAAAAAAGTGCTTTAAAATTTTTAGCTTTGTCAAGTCAAATTTTAGCTTTGTCAAGTCAAATTTTCATTACATTTATTTATTTGTTTTTTTATTCACCCATTACATTTATTTTTTGTTTTTTTATTCAACCACTACATTTATTTGTTATTTTAATTATTCACCCATTACATTTCATTTCATTCTATTATTAATATGGTGGTTAATTATGTATTCTGCGTGGTGGTATACATAATTTACCATCCGGCTCTAATATACGAACCTCCCCGTAGTATAGCTCGTAATACTCTTTACAAAGAGTGGCTGATAGTATTAAAAAAATATAAATAAATGGTATTAATATCATTTTATTATCTTTAAAAATTAATTATAAAATCTTTAAAATTTTTTTTTTTCTTTAATTTTTTGGACATCACTCTTTTTTTTTTGAAAGTTTAATAAATAATTAAATATTTTAAAAAAAAGATTAATATTAGATTTATCAATATGGTTTTGTGAAGGATTTTGAAAAGGAAAATAAAAATATTATAATTAATAAAGTTCAAAAAAAAAGTGATGATTTTAATCAAAAAAAAAAAAATTTTAAAAAAAAATTAAAAGAAGTGGAAAAAAGAGAAATATTATGATGTGTGTTTGTGCTGTTTTTTTTACATAAACTTTCAAATTTTAAAAAAGGATAAAAATGAATAATTTTTTTTAAAAAAAAGAGATAATTTTTTCTAAAAATTTTTAAATGAATACGCTAACTATAATTGGTGAACTGAGAATAATGATAATTTTTAATCACTAATTTTATTATAATATTTTTTTTTTTTTTTTTTTTTTTTTATAAGCATTTACAAAAACTGTGGGGTATTGCTAAATCTGAGCATGATATATCTTCGGGTATTGGATCTAATAAACCATTTGAACTTTTAATATTATTTGGGTCAAATACATCAATTCCTCCAAATTCTGGATATTTTGATAAAGCTCTTATTGTATCGTAAAGTTGAAATGGAGAGAATAATCTATTTTCATTTTCTAATAGATTTTTTTCGACATTGGGGTATTTATTTGTAAACCAGGTAGGTAAAATAATATAGAGTACAGGAAATGCAACTTCGATTGAACCACCTTTTGTCCATGAATAATAGGGACCCATATGTTGACCATGGTCACCAACCAATATTAATACAGTATCATTTAGCTTTGATTTTAAATCTTGACCTAGGAATCTATTAAACTGTTTATCTGCAATTTTTATAACCTCCATTGTTCCTTCGTGTGCATCCATTAAACCAGCAGAAACTATCTTACCAACTTTTGAGTAATTATCAAATATTTGATTAATATAGTCAAATATACGATCGTGGATATGCTTATTACCTAAACAACGTCTTCTTATTGAGTACGGACCTTCAAATATACCAAATGGTCTTTCTAATGGAAAAACTTGAGGTGAACAAAATGGCAACACTAATTCGTGATCAATATTTGGTTTTTCTACTTTTAAATATGCATCAAACCAATCTTCGCATGTTGGGTAAATCCATGATGTGATATAACTATCATTTCTAAAAGATTGAAAAAATAGGGGATTCTTTTCAAATGAAAAAGGTTCACCATTATTTGAGTTTTGAATTTTTTCTGGAATGATTTCTCTGTCCAATTTGTCGTATTCTAAAGAATTGTAGCCAGTATATAGTGCTATATAATTGGGATCTGAATATGGTTTTAGTGAATGATATCTAAAAAACTGAAATACTTTGGAATGACCTTCATTTTGAATAGCTTGTAATGTTTCAAATGTTTTAGGTAATGCACGTTTGAAATGAGCCCTTGATAATGCATCAATGAGTATAAATAATATATCTACAGGTTTAGTTCTTTCAGCTGAATTCATTTTTTTGATTTTATTTTCAAATGAACTTAATTTTGGTTCGTTGAAATTGCTTGCTCGTTCCAATGATGATTTCTTTAAAACATTTTGAAAATGAATTTCTGTTTTATTACCACAAGTTGCCATTACTGTTTCATCACTAATTAAGATAGGTCCGTTATATTGATATTTTTTCTTTTTATATTGTTTTTCTAATATTTTTAAATCATCTGTAAATATTCCATAACTTCTTTGCTCTTCAAAAAATGTTGGTGATGTTGTATATGAGATCTCTACTTTATTTTTACAATCGATGTGTAAATAATTTTTTTCATCTAAATATGAAAAACCCTTCTCCAAAGGACATTCTCTTGAACCTGCAACTACCCACGTTGAACCTGTGGGTTGAAACGCTGGCCATACTATAAAGTCATTTTCAATTTTGCATACATTTGGATTACTATTATTTAAATGAATTAATATTTTTCCATCAATTCCTACTAAAAAATCTTTTTTTATTCTAAAATGATTTATATTAAACAATAATGTTATAAAAATTATTAAAACCAATATACTGAATAAAATTTTTTTTATTTTGAAATACCTAAAAAAAAAAAATTTAAAGTTAAAATTTTATTTTTTTTATTTTTTTTATTTTTTTTATTTTTTTATTTATTTTTATAATTATAAATATTTACTTTAGTAAAAACCACCAAGTAAGAAAAGTTAAAGTATATAGTAGTAAAAACCCAGATAAAACTAATAGATTATATTGACCATGATTCATTAAGGTTGCACTGGTATCTTTTGTTGTTTGATAAAAAGTTGTAAAAAAACAAAAAATAAAAGATGTAACTGTAATACCATTACCATCATTTATAAACCTTAAAAGTAAATTTGATATTTTAATATTAAGTTTTATATTATTACTATTATCTTTGACACATTTATAATCTGTTCCTATTATTCTATTGTTTTTATTATTATCATTATTTTCATAATTATTATTATTAAAATTATTTATTATTTGATTTAATAAAGTAAAAAACCCTATAAAATATAATATCGATGATAGAAATATTTCCACTCCAAAAGTCTTGATGTGCCTATGGGTCCAATCGATATCTTTTCTCCCTTCTAAAGACCATTCATATATTTTATTACCCAAATAAACAAAAAAAACACCTATTGATATTGATAAAATTGTTGATTCTCTTATTTTCATTCTATATTCTAAAATAAAATATTTTATATAATATTGTTTTAAATAAATATAAAATTAAATTATAAAATAATTAATTAAAATAAAATAAACATAATGGTAAAAATAAATAATCTGTTATCTTTTAAAATTTAATCTAAAAAAAAAAAAAAAAAAAAATATTACCAATTGTTATCTTACACAATTGGTTTTTTTTTTTTACCACACCAAAAATGATAATAATAAATGATGATTTCTTATAAAATCTTTCATTTTTAAAAAAAACCCCCTAATAATTGAGCCTGAAGTTAGGTTGTATAACAGTTTAAAAAAAAAAAATTTTAATTGGATTTATTTCTTCTCTTTGTTTTTAAATTATTTCTTTTTTTTTGAAACAAATCAAATCTTTATTCAATTAAATTTAAACATTTATAATAAAAAAATTTTATTATTTACACACAATTCATTTCATAAATTTTTGTTTTTTATTAAAAACAAATAAAAATGGTTAAATACAGTTTATTTTTTTAATTTTTTTTTGTTTTTTTTTTTTTGCTTTTTTCTTTTTTTTTTTTTTTAAAAGAATTATTTATTTATTTATATACATATATGAATTAATATATATTTTATGTATTTATAAATCATTAAAATTTTATTTAGGTATGATAATTTTCATAAGAAAAGTTTCCTCCTTAAATAATAAAAAAATTAAAAAAAAAAATCATTAAAAAAAAAAACCTACTTTTTTATTTTTTTTTTTATTTTTTAATTTTTTTTTATTTTTTTTCTTTTATAAAATAACAATATAATCACAAAATCTTTTTTTTTTTTTTCTTTCAGATATTTAAATTTGTTTTTTTTTTTTTCAAAGTTTATTTAATTTTATTTTATTTGTTTTTTTATTCATTGTCTATAAATAAAACAGGATAAAATAATTTAGAAAAATATAATTAGAATTAAATAATTGTATTGTTGTTTATACAAGATGTCAAAAAAACAACCAACTATTTCACCAGTTTTAGAAAATATTGTAAATTCACTTTTGCAATCATTGAGTGATTCAGATGAAAATGTTAAATCAACAGTCGTAAACAGTTTATATGAAATTGGTTTTAGACAACCAAATTTTGTTCTCCATGTTGCATGCGAATTTATTAATAAAAATCAAAAAGTATAAAAAAAGAAAATAAAATAAAAATAAAAAACAAATACTTATCATTTTTTTTTTCTATAGATTGATTTATCACACAGAGTCAAAATTTTAACAAGTATTCATCAAATTTTAGAACAAACTAGAAATGATATTACAGACCAATTATCAATGAATTTAATTCAAATGTCAATTTCTGAAATGACTAAAGATAAAGAAGTAGTACCAGAATGGCAACAAATTTCATCATCATTATTGGTTTCATTAGGTTTACGTTATCCACAATTAATTATGGATGAATTGTTAAAACGTTTTGAACCAGGTACAATTCCTCATTATTTCGTTATGAAGACTTTAGGTGATTTTATTGGTTCTAATCGTATGTAAAAATAATACAGATATGTAAAAATTTAATAGAAATTAATTTTGTTTTTTTTTTTAGCAATTCCAACTGTTCCAAAAGTTAGAGAAATTTTATCACGTATTTTACCAGTTTTAGCATCAATTAAACACGATAATTTTAAATGGGTATTTGCTGCAGCATTAGGTCATTTTGCTGATGCCATTGTTTCTTATGTTGCAAATATTGATGCAGGTTCAGATAAATCATTAACACTTTATAGTTTTAGTTCAGAATTTTATCCAGCATTAGAATTAATGTTTAGTAAATGGCTAGGTACCAATCACGAAAAAGTTAGATTGGTTACAATCGAAGCCGTTGGTTCAATTTGCTCAATTTTATCAATAGAACAATTAGAATCTCAAATTCAAAAATTAGTTAGTGGTGTATTAGCAATGTTAAAAAAAGAAAAAGATTTATTACCAGTTACTCATGTAATTGTCATTTTTAAGGATTATTAAAATTTTTATTATTTTTACTAATATTATTTTTTATTCTATATAGTCATTATGTTGTATTTTAGAAGTTTGCGTTAAAAATGATATTAAATTACAAGTCAATGAATTATTAATACCAATGATGCAAACATTACACCCATTAGTTTGTGTTGTACCAGATTATAGTAACCCAGCATCAACTAAAACTTATAATGAAGTATTAAGATGTTTTGAAGTTATTGGTAGAGGATATGTAGATTCATTAATTTCATTCCTTAATAATAAATTAGAAAATAGAGATTTGAAATCAAGAGCAGGTTCATTATCAATTATTCGTCATATGGTCACCCGTTTAGATGTTGAATTAACTGATAAGAAACCATTAATTATTTCAGCCATCAAACCATTAGTTCAATCTGAACCATCAATTTTCATAAAGAAATATTTATCACAAATTATTGTTGCAATGGCACCTTATGGTTATTTACACATGGAAGGTGGTCTCCAATTAATTGAATTCATTATCAAAGGTAGTAGTTTTGTTCAAGATTCTGAACTTGGTAAAACTGTTGCACCACAACCACAAAAGAAAATTGAAAATCCAGAACTACATGTTACAGAGCAAGAATTACGTTCCATCAGTGATAACATTTTAAATCTTATGACAACTACTATGCCAGATATGGAATCTGTTTTATGGCCATATCTTTTCGAATTTTTATTACCAGATCAATATACAGGTTCAATTCCAATTGTTGCAAAATGTTTAACCTATTATGCTCAACAAAAGAAAGCAGCAGATTCTGATGATTATTATATCGATTTCGATAAAGAAATTAATTTACCAAAACCAACTCAAATCATTTCAAGATATTTTGTTTTGTTAACAGCTCCACTCCGTCGTAGTCAATTAGGTATTAGAATTTTAGAAAATATGAAAGCTATTGGCCCAATTCTTCATCCATCAATTTGTGATATGTGGGATGTAACTCTTCCAAAATTAATCAGTTATCTTGAGGATCATACCGACCCAGATACTTGGAATAAAAATCAATGGGAAGAATTAACTCTACGTCTTTTAGCAGAAACAATTAAAAATGCCGCTGATGATGAATGGACCGTTACTCTTGGTAACTCAATGAGTGAACAAATTGATCACTATAAAAAAGATTCATCTCTCAAAAGATCACTTTATAAACAAATGGGTTTAATCATGCAAAAATGTGCCCATAAAGAATTTGTTAAATCAAAAATCGAAGTTATGTTTACATCTGTAGACTACACCAATGGATTAGAAAATGAAGGTTGTGCTATTGGTCTTGGTTATTGTGCTAGCAGTCATCCAGATATTGTTTTAGAAAAAATTAATTATCATATCAAAAATACTATGGTTAAGAAATCAGGTTTCTTTGGTAAAAAAGGTCCAAAAGGTGTTAAAAACTGTATTCTTTTAAGTTTGGGTTATATGGCTCAACACATGGCATCTAATATTTTCTCATCACGTGTCGAAGTACATGTATTCCAACCAATCAAACCAGCTATCTCAATTTTAAAGAAGGTACCAAAGAAATTATCTGCTATTAAAATGATTGATTTAATTGGTAAAGCATTACATCCAAATAAAGTACCAGGCTATACATTCAAACAAAGAGATGAGTTGGTTAAATTGTTAATCAGCTATATGAATCCAGCAACTCCACCAATTGGTATGAATAATCAAGTAAAAGTTGATGGTGTTAATGCTTGCTCAACTTTGATTCACTTAGAACCAATGATCACATTAGAATTGGAAAATCAAATTGTTCAATTAGTTTTAACTTTTTATAACTTACAAGTTTCAGCAGCAAATGCATCAAATACCGAAAGTGATGAATATAAAGAAATTAATTCACTTGTTACAGCTGTTAATAATTTATTCTCAACTATTTTATATAATCAAACAAGTATAGAATGTTTCAATAGATTACTTGGTTATTTAGATCCACTCTCACGTTCAAAAGATGCTCATGTTCGTGAAAGATCAATGTTTTGTATTTTATATTTAGTAAAGAAATTTATTGAATACTCCACAGAATCACAAGAATTACCAAAAGATAAAGTATTTGATAATATTGGTTCCACCCTTTCAATTTTAATTCCACGTTGTACCGACCCAGAAATCAATGTAAGAAAATATGCTGTTGAAGGTATTCAATTAATGCTTTATGTAAGCTTTATGCTCAAGAACACTACATTAGAAAATCGTAGAGTTAAACCAAGTGAAGTTTTACACCCATTAACATCAATTCGTGAAGGTATTACAACCACTGAGGTTAATGAACAATTTTCATTAGTATTTGAAATCTCTTCAGTTATCTCCAAAATGGTATCTCTTGAAGAAATTCCAAAATTCCTTGAAGGTTCAATTAAAGGTTTACAAGATCTCCAAACCTTTAGTACAAATGGTTCATGTATTATGATTAACGGTATTATCAAAAGTCGTGGTGAAGAACTTATCGATTACGTACCTGTTCTTGTAAGAGGATTATTAACTGCTATGGAAGGTATTACTTCAGAAACCACAATGAATGGTACATTAGTATCTCTTAGAAGTTTAGCAACTCATCATTTAATTCCAGTACTCACCGTTTTATTAGAATACCCAATGCCACATTCAATTCATGTTATTAAATCACTTCAAATTATTGGTAAAGATAAAAATTTAATTGGACCAACCATTATTCACTTAATGGATCTTTTAAATAATAAACCTGTATATGAAGATAAACCAGATCCAAAAGATAAAAAGAGAATTATCCCATCACCATTCCCAGTAGCATTAGCTGCAACATGTAGTTTAGGTGAAATTTTACAATTATCAGAAATAGAAGAAATCGCTAAATATTTCTATCACCAATTATTCAGTACTTTGGTATTAAGAGCAGGTACATGTAATAACTCTTTGCCATGTGTTATTGAAGCTCCTGCAAATAATCCAAAAATTAAACCAGCCTCATTAATACCATCACAACAAATGTTAGCAACCTTTAGACAATTCTTTACTTGCACCAAAGAAGAAGAAACCTGTTTAAATCCAATCGAGGGAAAAGGTAGTTTCAACAGATTAGAAGCCTACGATTATCATGAAGGTATCATCGAAATTACAGGTGTTGTTGCAGCTGCTCATCCAGAACATATTAAAGGTATTTTTGAATTCCTTTTACCATATCAACGTTCCAATCATTTACAACACCGTATTGTTGTTATTGCAGTTACCACTGAACTTATCAATCATTGTAAAGATAAAGAAATACTTCAAAGATTAATCAATACTCTCCTCAATTCATTAGTCGATCCATTAGTTAAATTAATTTCACTCAAAGGTCTTTCAAATATTGTTAGTGCAGGTATTGAACAAACCAATCGTTACGCCCCAACTGTTATCGATGCCCTTAGTACATCAATTGATGATCAAGATGAAGGTATGGCTATGGAATGTATGTTAGGTCTTTCAAAGATTTTCGAAGTTGCTGATGAAGGTCGTGTTGCTCCAATTCTTGTTAATATCTGTAATCGTATTAGACCAGCTTTCGAAAAACCAAATGATTTTATTCGTGGTGCATCATTCAAACTTTTTGGTTCACTTTGGAGATTTGGTTCAGGTTCTGCATGCGATCCATTTTATGAACAAATTCATAACAGTTTACCAGCCTTAATTATGCATTTAAATGATGATAATCCAATGGTCAAAGATGCATGCAAAAAGACTCTCTTTGAATTATGTGGTCAAAATATTTCAGAAGATAGAAGCAGACCATACAATTTAATGAGATCTTTAGAAATTATGGAATACTTTAACAATAAATCAAAAGGTTTCCACCCATCAGTATCAGATTCAAGCTCAATCAACTATGACGAATTTTTATTAGATTTCTCAAAACTTTTAATTGTACACTACCCAGAAAGAGTCAATTACTTTATTATGACAGTTATTGAATTCTTTAAGAGTGGTTGGGTCACATTAAAAGGTAACTCTGCAACTTTAACTGGTTTACTTCTTGGTAATTTAACTGACGAAAAAAGAATTCAAACAAATATCAATTCAACAATTATTACAAAAACTTTAATTAATTTATTAGGTGACAGAAGCTCAATGGTTAGAAAAAAAGCCGCTGAATCATTAGGTTTATTACACCACTATTAAAAAAATTATATATCAATAAATAAAAAAAATAAATAAAAATATAATAAATTATTTAAAAAACTAAAATGTTTAAAAAAATATAAAAAATAAAATATTTATTTTATTTTAAGAAATTAAGTTTTATGTATAAAATTTATTATCAACATTAAAATCTTTTTTAATATTATTTATTAAATTATTATTATCTATATTATTATCTATATTATTATTATTATTTACAAATTCTACAAAGCTATATGATTTATCGTAACTATTGTTATTATTATTATCTATATTATTATTAAGACTATTATCACTATTATTTATTAAACTATTAGATCCTTCATTTATAAAAATATCAACTTGACCATTATCTAAAATACTATTATTTTGATTATTATATTGGTCACTTTTTATATCACCATTTAAATTATCGTTATTATTATTATTATTATTACTATAAAATTGATTTAATTGTTCCTTTTGTTTTTGTTGTTGGGAAGTTTTAAATTGTTTTTTAAATAAATTAAATTGTTTTCTTTCATTTATTTCTTTTTTCTTTAATTCTTTCCATTTTTGAGGCTCACCAGAAGTACCATAAAGATTTGCTACAACTTTATAACATTTTCTACAATCTAGTGGTTCGAACAATTCGCCATCTTTAGTTAATGGAACAATTTGGTCATCGTCATCTAATAATACTGAATATTTTCCAAACATTTGATGTATATTGATACCTTCTGAATTGATCCATGTATCCTTTCCTTTAAACCCTAACCTTATCTTTGCCATTGGTTCTCTTAATTCATTTTCTTTATAATTTTCATCATCATCGTCATATTTACTATGACACAAAAAACAAAAACAAAACCCGATTACTGAAAAAAACTTTTTAATTTTTTCTAAAACTATATTTTTTTTTTTATTATTATAATTAACCATTATTAATAACTATTAAAAACATTTGATTATTTTACATATATTTTTATTTATATATATAAATATATATTTTATTATTATTTATTATTTTTAAGAAATAAAACAAATCCCAAAAGAAAAAAAAAAATTAGAAAATATTTTTTAAAAAAAAAAAAAAAAAAATAATTTAAAAAAAAAAGATATTTTCTTGTTTTTATTTTCTTATTAATTATATTCTAAAGAATACAAAAAAATACATATAAATAAATAAAAGTTTATGTAAAAAAGAAATTTCTTAATAAAAATTAAATTTTTAAATAATAAAAAAGAAAATTAATTATTTTATAGATATTAATAATAAAAAAAAAAAAAATAAAAAAAAAGAAAAAAAATATTAATTTTAAAAAATTAAAATTATTTTTTAAATTTTTTAAAAATTTTTTTATTTTCGATAACAAAATTTGACACATAGTTTTTTGTATATTTATTTTTTTGTTTTATTATTAGATATACTTAATCAAACACCAATTTATTGGTGTATATATTATATATAAAAAAAGAAATGAAAGATTATAATTTTATAAGAAATTGGATATGTTTCAATTTTTTAGGTAATATAAATAATTTTTCATATTGTGTTGTTAATGCAGCAGGTAGTTCTTTAGCAGCATATTTTAATAATGAAAAAAATATCGCATTAATCTTATGGGCAAATATTGCATTTGGTTTTGTTTCAAGATGTAAGTATTATTTATATTTAAAAAAACTAAATTATAATTATTAAAAAATAAATAATAGTAATTTAAAAATAGTATATAATAATAATACAAATAATCATACATATTTTTAAAAATTATTAATTAAATCAAAATTTTTTTAGTATTAAATACTTTTTTATTAGAAAATGTTAATACAAAAATTAAAATTATAGTAAATTGTATAATTATGGGTTTAGGCCTTGTTGGTGTTGCACTTTCAGTTTATGTAAATTTTGCATTTTGTATTGCAAGTATAGCATTAATTGGTATAGCAAGTTCATTTGGTGAAAGTGTTTTATTATCATATATGAAAAGATTTCCAGCTGAAATAGTTAATGGTTGGTCATCAGGTACAGGTGTAGCAGGTGTTAGTGGATCATTATTTTATATTGGCATGGTTGCTGCTGGTTTATCAAATTCAAAAATTTTTTATATTATTTTACCAACTGTAGGTGCATATTTCCTTTTATTTTTCTTAGGTTTAAAGGTACCAACAGCTTCGAGTTCACCAATCAATACAAAGAAATCATCACCATCAAATGAAAGTGATAAAAATACAGAAAAGCAATCATTAGTTTCAAGTGACCAATTAGCAGAGGAGGATTATTCATCTCCAGCCAGCAATATTAAAATCAGTGATATTTATGATGATGGATGTCAACCAATTAGAGGAACACCAAACGAAACCAAAAAACAAAGATATATTCGTTGTGCTAAATTAGTTTGGTTCAATGCAGTCAATCTTAGTTTAGTATATTTCTTTGAATACGTAGCAAGTGTTGGTGGTGCAGATTTAGCAATTAAACAAAATCCAAATGGTGACTTTTTCATTAAAAATGCCTATGCTATTTTTAGTTTTTGCTATCAACTCGGTGTCTTAATCTCTCGTTCATCACTTCAATTTGTAAAAATTAAACGTGTTGGTATCATCACTATCCTTCAAGGACTTAATATGGTATTTTGGATTGTCCAAGCTAAATATAGAATGGTCCATAACGTTTGGGGCTTATTTATTTTAATGGTTTATTGTGGTCTCTTGGGTGGTGCTTCTTATGTCAATGTATTCTATTTAATTTTACACGATAAAAAAATCCCAGACGAAGATAGAGAAATTTGTGTCAATTATGCAGCCTTATTAGTTACTTTAGGTATTACTTTAGCAAGTTGTTTCATTTTAGTTATGGATCATACATTTTTGGCTGATCAAGTTGCAAATAAATAAATTTAATTTTTTTTTTTAAAATAAAAAAAAACTATATTATATAATAAAACTATATAGATTAAAAAAAAAAAAATTGTTTCTTTATTTTTGTTATTTATTTTACATTAAAGTTTTAAAATTAATGCTTTTCTGACATTTCGTTTGAATTATTATTATTATACGTTTCTTCATCAAAAAATTCATAGAAGGTATCTTTTTTTACTTTTTTGAGACGGAAAATAATTGCTATCATTACAAACAAACTAAAGTTTAGTATTTGCTGAATTAAAAGGAAAACAAATGGGAAATAAACATAAACTGAAACAAATCCTATTATAATTGTTAAAATACAATAGGGTACCATTGTCCATTTAAAACCTTGGAATAAATAATAAATACTTTTATATCTTTTTAATTCTAATTCTTTTTCTTGTGCATTATTATTATTATTCTGATTCTGATCCTGATTCTGATTATTACTGTTATTTGTTTGATTACTTGATACTGAATCACCATTTATTAATGTTCTAATATATGTTATATTGAATTGTGCCATATATATTATAGATACTGGTACCGGTAAATATGTAATTAACATTACAAGCTAAATATTTGAAAAAAATAAAAAAATTTAATAAACATATCTATATTTTAATAGAGTTAAAATAAAAAAACTTACGTTTAATGAGTTTGTGGTATAAAAACTACTCATAAATGTTGAGCTGAATAAAATAATTATTAAAATGACAAAAAAGAAACGAGTTGATTTAAAATCCCTTAACATTATACCATAACCCATGGAAATTAACATTAAGACAATTAAAAATATTATCATCTTTGCTGAATAAATTAAAGAGTTGAATATATATACCGCCCATCCAAAATCCCCATCCCTTTTTAAATATGAATAAAAGAAGTAGGTGAAAATAAGATAAACAATAGTTGAAATTGGGATTAAACTAATAATAAAATGTAATTTAGTTGATTGTTTTCTATAAAGTAACCAATTTGTTAACCAGCCGATTGCAACAATTGACCATAAAATAAGGAATACTAAAAATGTATTTGGGAAATAAAAATACTCCATACTAAGGTGATTATGATTTGGATTGATTTGTTCATATGATATTTCCATTGGAACTGTCTTTGAACCTGGCGAATTCCAACAAGAGAATGTTACAAACTTGTAATAATCCTGATCCATAATTGTACCATTAAAAGTTGTAATACTATCGAAATTATCACTAATTGCTAGGTGATTTATACATCCATCCAAAAAAGGGAAATATATAGCTCTTTCTAAAATATCAAAGTCATAAAAATTTAATGGATCTATGAAAAAACATGGATCTACATTCTTTATATAATTTAAAAAAGATTTCATTAATAATATGTTACTATATATAATAAATACTAATACCTACATTCATATATTTTATTTGTCTATTTGCACACATTGCCACAACGAGGATCATGTTTCCATAATTTGATGAGTTGACTTTATCTCTCTTTATATTCATTGAATAGCTACCATTTTTAATAAATCCAAATTCTGCAAAAGCATAAATGGTTCCATTTCTAAATTCAAAGGTATCTGGAGAAGAATATGTTGACTCTACAAATAACAATTTGTTTATAAAAATAATTAAAAATATTATTATTATTAAATTTTTCATTTTTAAATAATAAATCTTTTAAAAATGAATTTTATTAATTTATTTATTTATTTATTAATTTATTAATTTATTTATTTATTAAATAATTTTTATTTATAATGATAAAAAAATTGAGTTAAAATTTTAAAAAAAAATTTTAAAAAAAAATGGAATTAAATTAAAATTAAATTAAAATAAAATCACACACACACACCAAAATAAAAATATTTGCTATTTGTTATAATAAGTTACTTATAAAATAAGTTACTTATAATAAGTTGAAATAAAAAACTTTTGGTGTGTTATTAAAGGTCTTAAATACTTTAAAAAAAAAAAAAAAAAAAAAAACTTAAATTAAAAATAAAAAATAAAAATAAATATAAAAAGATATTTTTACAACATTAGTTTTTTTTTTATTAAAGTCCAAACAACAAAAAAAAAAAAAATTGGATTATATTATTTTATTTTAATCTATTATAATAATAGCATTGATTATTTCTAAAAAAAATAAATACAAAATTTATATTTTTTATTAATTTTTTTTTTCTTAATTTTTTTTTTTTCAATTATTTTTAAAATTTTTTTTTTTTAAAATTTTATTTTTTTTTATTTTTTTAATTTACTATTTAATTTTTACATTTTTTTATTTCATTTCATTTCATTCATTTTTTTTCATTCATTACTATTAAAATTATAATTTTCTAAATTCAAAATGACATTAATTAAAAGTTTTGTTCTCTTTTCAATAGGTGCTATTTCAGGTAAATATAAAAATATATATAACATTAATATTAAATAAAATATTTATTTACCAATTTTTTCAAATAGGTGTTTACTATGCTCAAAACTATGATGTTCCAAATCTTTCAAAAGAAGCCAACAAAGTTGTAAAACAAATCAAAGATATCGGCAAATAGACCATTTAAACAAAGAACATAACAATATTACAATCCACACTATTAGTAGGAACAAAAAAAAAAAGGGACATGTTCAAAAATAAAAAAATAAACTCCCTTTTTCGTGTATAAAATTTAAAATAATAAAATATAAATAAATTAATTATAAAACATATTTTTGTTGTATCATTATTTATAAAATATCTATAGGTTTTTTTTAAAAAAAAAATAAGTGAACAATTATATTTTGTAAGAAAAAATAAAATAAAAAATAGTCATTGTGGAGGACAATA